AGGAAGGCTGTGCGGTTTAGTGATGATACATCAGGCACATAGCAGATGCTCAACACATGGTGGTTATTACCAGGGCTTCCAGGGACAGTTGAGCAAGCTATGCACTGAACAAATGCACCAGCCCTACAAGGACAGTCACACCATAGACCATGTAGATGGAATATATATATATATATATATATATATATATATATATATATATATATTTTTTTTTTTTTATTGATTTCAGAGAGGAAGAGAGAGAGAAAGAAATAGAAACATCAACGATGAGAGAGAATCATTGGTTGGCTATCTCCTGCATGCTCCCTACTGGAGATCAAGCCCGCAACCCCGGGATCTGCCCTTGACCAGAATCAAACCTGGGAACCTTTAGCCCACAGGCCAACGCTCTATCCACTGAGCCAAACCATCTAGGGCGATGGCATATTTTTTTGTACAAGTGTCTGTCAGATGATGGTAAACTCTTGTTCTAATCAAGTTGTTATGCCAATTTTCTGAGAGATGGAAGAAAGTGTTAGAGGAAGGTGTGTCTTTATATAAATCTCCCATGGATGTTACTAACAGCCCTGCCTGTTGGCAATCCTCTCTTCCAACCATAGATCTATTTCTTTGTTCTTTCTTTAAAAATATAATTTTATTGATTTCAGAGAGGAAAGGAGAGGAACAGAGGGACAGAAACACCAACGATGAGAGAGAATCATCCATCTGCTGCTTCCTGCCGGCCCCGACCAGGAATCAAACCATGACCTCCTGGTTCATTGGTCAATGCTCAACCACTGAGCCACACCAGCCGGGCAGGACCTTCATTCTGAGAGAGCCCCGGCCCTGGTGGCCCAGGGATGCTGGCCAGGATGGGACAGGCCCTGGGGGTGGGTCTGCCAGAGCCACAGGCCAGAAGGGTCCCCCATGTGCCAAGTGTCCGCAGCCAGCCGGGCCTCCCTCATGCCTTGTCTCTTCCGCAGGTGAACATGGTGGTCCTGGGCAAGTACCTGGGCATCCCCAAGCCCTACGGGCCCGTCATCAACGGCCGCTGCTGCCTGGAGGAGAAGGTGCGGTCCCTGCTGGAGCCGCTGGGCCTCCACTGCATCTTCATCGACGACTACCTGTCCTACCACAAGCTGCTCGGGGAGATCCACTGCGGGACCAACGTGCGCCGGCAGCCCTTCTCCTTCAAGTGGTGGCACATGGTGCCCTGAGCCTGCTCCCCGCCCGCCATCCTCTCTGCCCGCCTGTTGGGAAGCCCGCCGGAGTGAAAGTGAGGAACCTCTTTCCCCAGCCTCCATCCTCTGGGGGGAGGTCTACATGCACATCCCTCAAGTGCCCGCAAACGTGCTGGCCACCATGGGCACAGGGACGCAGGATGGGCACCGCACAGCCTCCCCTCCGGAGCGGCCTGCCCGCTGGAGAAGGACCACCCTCCGTCTTCCCTCCCTACTCCCGCACAGCTCCCGGGGCCCGGAGAAGACCAGCAGCTCTGGCTGTGCATCGCTCCCCTCCATCCTGAGGGGCCCTTGGTGCTTGCCGGGTGTCAGTCCTCTCTTCCAACTGCCAGGAACGGGGTCCGGGGAGCCTGGGCTCCAATGTGGGGGCCCTGGGCCTGGGCCCCCTGTGGCTCCTGCAGGGGACCCCCGGGCGGTGGCCTCCCGGCCCCCTCAGCCGGTTTACATAGGCCCATAAGGACGGGGGAAGCCAGCTGCGGAGGGTTTGCTTTTAAAAGAAGAAGAAGAAAAAAAGCAACAAAACCCCTCTAATGCCTGACTCTGTCCTCAGAAGGGTGCTTGTTATCTGCTCGGCTGGCCTTTAATTACGAGGGCTGGCTGCTTCCAGCTCAAAACGCGGCAGAGGTCAAAGGGAGGCCTGGGAGGGCATCAAAGGCAGGAAGCCTGGCAGGAGGGGGGGATGCCAGGCTGGCAGAGAGGCCTGAGGCACGGGACAGGAGCTGGGGCCAGATCCCGGGCCCTGGGTTCCGGAATCTGCCTGTGAGGCAGGCAGCCGGCTGCTCAGATGCAGCAGGGAGGGGCCCGGATGTGAGAGGAGGGTGGGGGGCCATTAGGCTATCTCTGAAGGTGGGGTTTAATTCCCTTTAATAGTCTCTAATTATTCCCTTCCTTCTGCAGGCGGTGGGAGGGGAAGGCTTGCCCGGGCTCCCTCAGCAACCCCATGTCCCCGAGCGTAGCTTGGGTTTCACCTGTGTCCGGTGTCCCCTTGTCTAGGAAGGAAGATGCAGCTGCCTCAGGGGTTAAAGGTCCGGCCCCTGGGAGGTCACCAGGACTGCGCAGGCAGGCAGGCAGGCAGGCAGACTTGGCCAGTGCAAGGAGAGAGGTGGCCCTCGCCCCAGACAGGCCTGGCAGCAGGGAGCAGACCTCTCCTCTTCCTCCCACTGCTTGAGGGGCCACCTCAGGGCCCCCCAGCCTCTGAGCCTTTACTGGGGGTTTTCAGCGGCCCCTGGTGAGACCTGGGCTGAGCCAGCTGCTGTTAAACTCTGCTAACCTTGGGACACTCAGTAATCAGACGCTTACAGAGAAACCCAACATAGGAAATTGATAAAAATGGAACCGCTCTGGTGTAAGGTGGTGTAAGGGGAAGCATACCTTCCCTGTCCCCTTCTGGAAGGCTCTGTGGGACCGGCTCCTTCTCTGATTGTGACCAAAAGGAAACCTAGACGGAGCCAAGAGGAGAAGGGAGATCTTCAGGGGCTGGGGCCCCAGGTGAAGGCGGAGAGGGAAGGGGGTAACGCAGAGAGACGGGGAGCAGGTCCCCAGAGCAGCCCTGGGTGTGCAAAGCGCCAGAATTGCCGCAGGGGCTGCTGGGGGACACTCATGTCCCCTCTGAAGACGATCCAGGTGACCGGTCACCTCCTTTCTGGTCAATAAAAATGTCAGCATGCATTTCTTCCAGTGGCTGTCTCCTTGGCGTTTGTTTGTGGGGTGTGAGGAGGAGGAGGAGGGAAGGGAGTTTTGCCCACCACACCATAAGGTAGCCAGGCAGGCTGCTCCATCAGAGGGAAGGCTGACTGGGGCTAAGGACAGAGGCCGGAGGGCCCCAGCGGGACTGGTGCCCGGAGCCCCATACCACTGATTCCCTTTCATTTCTGCCTCTAAAGCCATTGCATTGCCCTAACCAGTTTGGCTCAGTGGATAGAACGTCGGCCCGTGGGCTGAAGAGCCCTGGGTTGGGGCACATTCCCAGTAGGGGGTGTGCAAGAGGCATCTGATCCATGATTCTCTCTCATCGATGTTTCTAACTATCCCTCTCCCCCTCTGTAAAAATCAATAAAATATATATTAAAAAAAATAAAGCCACCGCGTCACTCAGCAGTCTGATTTCAGGGATGAAGGTACCTCCCTCGCATCCTACACACTGGTGGCTGCCTCACCCACCCACTCGTTCACTTTATTTTCGCTTTTGTTGTGCACTTAGAGGCAAAAGCCTTGCCACTAGTCATTGACACTTTAGTCTGAATGAGCCACAGATCTGTTCCTAAAAGCTGGTCATAACTGGGAAGAGGTAAAGGCCTGGGTCTGCTGCCGAAGGGAGAGTCAGAGCTCTGTTCCCAGCGCAGTGGGCCTGGGGTAGGGGTGGGCAGCCCCCCACTTCCTGTATCTATCTCCCAACGGTGCTCACTGTGGGCTGAGGAGACTGTCTAGGACTTCCTCCTGAACTCAAACTGTTACCCAGAGCTGCATCAGCCAGCAAGCATTTTACAGCCCAGAACGGGAGGCTGCCACCGAGTCCGGCAGCCCAGCCGCTCTCCCTGAGAAGGACCTCCCCGCCCCCCCCCCAAAACTGGGAGACAGGAGCGCCAGCCTTAGAGTCCTGCTGAGGTCCCCGACTTCGGCAAGTGCTTTAGCCGGGGACTCTGGGAAGCAGGTCCTGGTCTCCACCTGGCCTCAGCCATCCGCCTCACTGGGGAGAAGAGAGGAAGTCTCTGTTCAGCACCTTCTCCGCCCCTGGGGGCAGGGCGTGCCCCCGGCGCGCGCTCTGCCAGGGCTGGTGATTAGCCACATTTTCTACAGGCGAGGAAACCAGGCCCGGAGAGCCCTCTTCATGGTGGCGTCTGAACCCGGGGCCCCTCTTGCCAGAGCTCTGGCTCCTGCTGTTCCCCCGGGCGCCTCAAAGTCCGTCCGGCCTCAGCCTCCCCACCCGAAGGGCAAGCCTGCTCCAGCACTCTAAGCTCCCCCTAGTCAGAGAGCTTTTTCACCCTCGTCACTTCCCCCTCCCAGAGGCTTTGTTATCTAATAATAATAATAATAATAATAAAAGAATAACAACAACACTCATCATGAAATAATGCCAAACGCTGTACTGGAGCTATACCTACATTGTCTCATGTAAGCCGGTACAGCACCCACTTATCAGATGTGAAAGCTGAGGCACAGAACAATCAGTGGCTCGCCCAGCTCACCCAGCCAGGATGTGGCTGAGCCAGGGCTGACATCCAATCCTGCCTCTAAAGCCCACAGACTTAAAGAGAGAGGCCGGTGTTTACCAAAGTGCATTCACATGCTTCGGGGCGCTTGTAAAAAGTCCAGATGTATCAGACTGCGGCCGGGCCCAGGACCCTGCATTTTGCCAGTTCCCCAGCAGGGTAGAGAGGCCCCCCACCCCCAACTTTACTCTGAAAATGCAGGAAAAGGGGATGAGGAGGATGGGAAATGAGGAACAGAGACCAAAACTGCACAGCTCTGTATCCCACCCGCCCCCACGCCCCCAGGCCCCCGTGCTCTGGCCAGGTACCTGTAGAGACTTGCTCCCCTTTAAAGCCAGAAATTAACTCCCTCAGTGCTGGGGTGGAAGCAACAAGTTCCTATGCAAATCATGTTTCTTCCAGCCAATCCAGAGAGCCTGGCTCTAGGAAGGGGCGTGGCATCCAGGACAGCAGCCAATGAGCTAGCACCCTAGGCTGGAGGGGCAGGGCCAGGCTCTTTTAAACCACTGGCCAGGGGGCCTGCAGGTAGGCAGTGCTGGGTTGTGAGGCCCCAGCCCTGTGGGAGGCCAGCATGTCCCTGCAGAGGATCGTGCGTGTGTCCCTGGAGCACCCCACCAGTGCCGTGTGCGTGGCCGGCGTGGAGACCCTGGTGGACATTTATGGGTAAGAGCCGGAGGCCTGGGCTTTGCAGGTCCTCGGTGTGAGCTCCTTATGAGCTGTGTAGGGCATCTTCAGGCTCCGGCCCGGCTCGGCTGCCTTCTCTTGAGCCTTGGCCTTGGAACACCAGCCAATCACAAGAGCTTGGGTAGTCACCTTTGGCGAGGAAAGACCCTAGCCAGTGTTGGAGGCCAAAGGTGTGTAGAGAGGCTTATGGTGGCTGAGCTTTGGCCAGGGCCTTGGGGAGGAGGGGGTGGTGGTGGTGCTGGAGCCACAGGGCTTGTGCATTTTCTCAGTCTGGGGGACCCTGCAGGCTGGGCTGAGGGTCTGGCTGAGCACATAGAAATAGGAAGAGACATACTGCCTTCCCCATCCCCAGTTCCTGCTGATGAGCCTGAAAACAGAGCATCAATCTTTTTTTTTTTTTTTTTCTCCCCCAATTACTTACAGGTCTATAGCACTTACTCAGTGGCAGGCCCTGTTCTAAGAGCTTAACAAGCCTCTTAAATTTAACTTCCACAACCACCGTATGAGCTAAGTTTATTCCTCTTCGTCTTATTTGACAGGTGAGGAAACCGAGACACAGAGAGGGCCAGCCATTTGCTCAGGTCACACAGTTACTAAGTGGCCGAGTCGGGATTTAAACCCACTCATGGCCAGGAGTCTTATGGACTTGGCTGCCCGCCCCTTGAGGAGGAGGGTTTGCTTCCTCCAGCTGTTTGATGCCCATGCATTATGCCCCCACCGCGGAAGGGACTCCTGCCCGGCAGACAGAGCAGTCCTGGGTTAGAGCGAGGTCTCTTCCGGCTCAGAGAGGCCATGATTGAGCAATCCTGACGCTCGGACTGTGGGCCAGTGGGCAGTGGGGCAGTGGGCATGGTGACTCAGTCCTGGCTTCACGTTTTCGCAGCTGTCTGATCCTAGGAAAGTCGCTTTACCTGAGTCCTCGGTATGATGGAGATGATATAATAATAATAATAAATAATAATAATATCAGCAATGATACTTAGAGCCGGCTCCACCCAGTCACTGCCTGGCGCTTTACATATGTTTGCTAATTCTCTTAACCATTCTAGGGAGGCAGACATTATCATCCTCCCCATTTTATAGATGGGGAAACTGAGGCACAGAGAGGTTGAGTAACTTGCCCCATGTGTCACACAGCCAGTGGGGAGTGCAGAGCCAGGAAGCAACCCGAACAATTTGGCCTTTAGTTCCCAGGGCTCTTGGGAAGATTGAGTGAGATTGTGCGTGCAGAGCATGAGGTGAAGCCTGGCCTGTGGTGCACACTCATTTATGGTGACTGTCACCATGATTATCATCCTTGTCACCATATCGAGGCTTTATCCTGACCCTGTGGACAGCCTCAAGTGTCCCCAAGCCTGCCATACACCGGGGAGCGACCTCCGAACTGTATTGGGAGAAGGAGGAGATGAGAAAAGAGACTGTAGCATAGGCTGAGCAATCAGGGCAGGCTTCCTGGAGGAAGGGCACCAGTCAGAGCCTTGAGGGATGAGCACAGGCACGACACTGGGCCGCTCTGTCTGAGGCAGAGGATTAAACCCTGTTTTCCTGCCTCGCCCCGGGGACAAACGTACAGCCAGGGTTGAGAGTCGCCAAGGTTGAGAGTCGTGCCCTCGGTGGAAGGCAAACAGCCCGCGTCGCCCCTTGCTCAGCAGAGGTGGTCTAGTGGGGTGAAAAGGCTTGGGCACCTGTGGGCCAGTGACCCCGAGGTTTGGTCTGAGCTCTGCCACCATTTGTAGTGTCATTTGGAACAACCTCCTGCTCCTTCCTGGGCCTCAGTTTCCCCATGTACCCTGAAGAGTGGTGGGTTTCAAGCTCTGCTCCCAGGTGCCTCTGAGGTGACAAAGCAGCTCCCCGCTGTCTGCAGCCAATTTTCTTTTTTTCTTTTCTTTTCTTCTTTTTTTAAATATATTTTATTGATTTTTTACAGAGAGGAAGAGAGAGGGATAGAGAGCCAGAAATGTCGATGAGAGAGAAACATCGACCAGCTGCCTCCTGCACACCCCCCACTGGGGATTGCCCGCAACCCAGGTACATGCCCTTGACCGGAATCAAACCCGGGACCTTTCAGTCCGCAGATCGACGCTCTATCCACTGAGCCAAACCGGTTTCGGCTGCAGCCGATTTTCACCCGAGAGCTCTGACTGAGAGGCCAGGATCTGGGAGCCTCGCTGAGTGGGAGGAGCAGCTGGTACCTCCCCCAGGAGCCAGAGCTGCCTGAGCCTTGGTCTCCCCTGCCCCTGGGGGCCATTCGGGGGGAACCTTGATGGTCATCTTGTCCACCTGTGTGTTTTCAGCTACAGGGGCCTTTCCTGTCAGTTCCTCAGCTCAGAAAGTCTGCTTTTGTCTTCCCAGAGGCCCATGGGTTTGGGTTTGCAGGGGAGTGGGGACAGAGTGGGCCACGAGTCCTGGCTGTCACTTACTAGCTGTGTGACAAGTTACGTGTCATTCCTGAGCCTCAGTTTCCTCATCTGCAGAGTGGGGATGATATGGCGATGGGAGTCGCCTGCATCACTGTTCTCACCATCGGAGGGAAGACTCGAGGCTCCAGGGGAGACCTGACTGGTCCTGTTCCCCAGCACAGGGTGGGGTCACCCGGAGTCACCCCGTGGGCCCTGCAGCACCGGGCTCCGGCATTGCTGAGCCAGCCCACCCTCGCTGTGCTTCTGGCTTCGCTGGGCATCAGGGTGGTTTTGAGTGCAGGTCCCAGGGCCCTGCCTGTGGCACTTCTGGTTCTGGAATCACCAGGGGGGTCCCAGGGTGGGCACTACCAGGGTGACCAGCTGTCCCAGTTTGCCCAGGACCTTCTAGGTCCCAGCACCGAGAGTCCTGAACCCCAGGAAGTGCCTCCATCCCTGGCAGACCCCCTGCCGCGCTTCACCCTCCCTTCCCCGCCTCCTGGGCTGGCTGGGAGGGCTTGGTGCTGGAGGTCTTGGCCTGTCCAGCGCGTGGAGAGCCTCGTCTGGGGAGAAACCAGGGCTCCAAGCCACATGCACCTCCTGGGGCTGGGCCGGGGGACATGGGTGGCCACTTCTGCTGACCTCCAGGAAGTGGGACACCCAGATCCTCCCATACCTGACGCAGGGCCTCCCATCAGCCACCCCTTTGATCTTCCTAACACACAGCTCCCGTAATGAGGCATGAGCACTGCCCTGGGGTCTGGAGCCCTACCGTCCGGCCCCTTTGCTCTGCAGCCTTCGTTTTCCCCGCAGCGAAATGAGGGCACGGGTTCCGGTGACCTGACTTTCGCTCACCCGGAGCACTTACACCCCCCCCCCCCGTTCCTTTGATCTTCTCATTATCCCCCCTTTATAGGCGCTGGCACTGAGGCAGAGGGAGGCCACCCCGCTCCCTTGAGGTCACACACCTGGTGGCCTTTCCTTCCAATGACCGCATGTGAGCCTCATGATGGCCAGTGAGTCTGGCTAAGTGGGGGGTCATTATCCCACTTTATAGGTGAGGTGACCGAGTGCAGGGAGGCCAGGCGACTACTCAAGGTCACCCGGCTGATGTGCGATCCAGCCTGTCTAGTGTCTGACTCCTGACTCCGGTCCAGGCCCCACCCTGACCCCGGGGCCCTGAGCCCTGTCTGGCTGCCCGGGGTGGAGCCCTGTCCTCGGCTCCCAGTGGGATCGAAGGCTCTGGGGAGCATGGTGCCTGTGGGCACAGTGGGCGCCCCTCAGACAATAAGAAGATGATTAGATTGATTTCAAGCAGGACGCCCCGACGAGCTGGAGTGAGGGAAGCGCAGTCCCGGGGTCAGATAACATCATGGATTTTTTAATCCCACAGTGAATGCCTGGGAAACGCACAGGGGAAGTGTGAATGCACATGGAGCCTTGGAATGCAAGACTGCGTATCCATTTGTGGGTGGTGGAGGCTTGACTCCCAGGAGCTCATTGGGAGGATCTGAGAGGCCTGGGGTGGTCAGGGAAGGCTTCCTGGAGGAAGCAAGACTTTGACCCAAAGCTCAAGCATCCGAACAAGGGCTGCCCCCTCCAGCACTTCCCGTGGCTCCCTGTTCTCCCAGGTCAGTGCCGGAGGGCACAGAGACGTTCGAGGTCTACGGGACGCCCGGTGTGGACGTCTACATCTCCCCCAGCGCGGAGAGGGGCCGGGAGCGCGCGGACACCCGGCGGTGGCGCTGTAACACAGGCCTGGAGATCATCGTGGTCATGAACTCCCCCAGCAATGACGTCAACGACAGTCATGTGAGTGGGTCCCTGGCCTGGGGCAGCGCGGGGAGGCAGTGATCTAGCCTCTCTGGGCCTTCTTTTTACCCGGAGTACGGAGTAGCACGGTGAGTAAGTGCCTGGCCCTGGAGCCAGCCAGCGCTGAGACTTAAAGACACAAAGTGTGGCCCTAGCCAGGTGCTCAGTGGATAAAGCATTGGTATCAAGAGTATGTACCTCAGCTGCAGGCTTGATGCCCCGCCCTGGTTGGGGCACATGTGGGAGGCAACCAACTGGCGTGTCTCTCTCACGTTGACGTTTTTCTCTCTCTTCTCTCCCCATCCTTCCACTCTCTCTAAAAATCAATAGAAAAAGATCCTCAGGTGAGGATTAACAAAAAACAAACAAACAAGAAACCAAAGTGTGTGACCGTAGCCAATGGTTCTAAGTGGTTAGAGCATTGAGCCCAGGCACTGAGGGGCCGCAGGTTCGATTCCTGGTCAAGTTCCTGGGGCAACCAGCCAATGTGCCTCTCCCACATCGATGTTTCTCTCTCCCTCTTCCTCCTCCTCTCTTCCTTCCTCCTTTCCATTCTCTCTGAAAAGCAATGGGAAAAATATTCCCTGGTGAGGATTAACAAAAACACAATCAACAAACCAACGCACACGGTGCGTGTCCTCTGCAAGCAGTTTCCCCACCTGTGGGCTGAGGTTGCTTAGGTTATCCCTGCAGCTCCGTGTGAGGGAGAGAAAGCAGGGACCAGGGGCAGGGAGGGATGCTCTTTTTGGTGAGATGTCTTCCCACGGTGACATCTCCCCAGGTTGCCTCTTCTTCCTCTAATCTACTCTCTTCCTGTCCCCCTCCCTTCCCTTCCTGGGGGCATAATGACTTCCCTCCTCTCTCTGCTCACTCAGCTATCAGAGAGTGTCTTTAACCTGCCTCGGCTGTAGGCAACCTTCTGGCCCCAGGGCAGGGTACACTTAAAATGTGGGAGAAATGGGGTGGCCCCTGTGCTTGGCACAGGCGATGCCACCTTATATGGCTGATGGGAACCAGGACTTGTCGTACGAGAGCGATGGAATTACACTCCATGTCAGGAACCATGTTTTGGAAAACTGTCCCTTTAAGAGCACTGCCCATGAGCCCATCCAGCCCTCCCAACAAGGTGGCTTTGATGCATCAAGCTCCAACTGCTTTATCGTCCTCACCGTCTCCGGCCCCGCCTTGGACAGTTACTGGGTGCTGGCTGTGGGCCAGGCACCGTGCTGAGCATGTTACACGAGTTCCTTCCTTAATCCTCACAGCCTATAATCACTCCTGCAGGTAGGAACTGTCATTATCCCCCGCTCTCCAGCCCAGGAAATTGAGGCCCAGAGCAGATAGGAACTTTTCCCAGGATATTTCCACGTGATGCATCTGAACCTGAGCCCTTACACAATGCCGCCCGTCCACCGCTTACGACAGCTGATGTTTGCTGGCACTTTCTGTGCGATCAGTCTTTGACACGTGTTGTTTTAGGCTGCACTATAGTCCTCTGAGCCACGAACCCGTATGGTCCCAGTTTGCAGATGAGGAGACTGAGCCGGCTGGGAAAGGTGAAGGGCTTTGGTCAAGGTCACACAACCCAGAGGTGCTGGGCTCTCTGAGTCCAGGTCTGTCTGAGTCCCAGAGATAAAAACATTGGCTTGGAGAGTGTCCCAAACCCTGCCCAGTCTGAACTCCTCATTGTATGAATGGTGGGACTGAGACTCAAAGGGGAGAGGGCTTGTCAAAATCACATAGTAGCCATCAGCAGCACTGGAACCAGGTCTCCATAGTAGGCCCATTTTACAGATAGGCCAAGCAAGGCATGGACAAATAAATGGCACCAAGAAGGCTAAAGGAAGAGCTGAGTTGGTAAACTCAAGCTCAGTGCACAGAGATCTTCTACCCTCTTTGCCAGATATTCCAAGGTCTCCTTAGGGTAGGGGCTCTTGGCTTAGCCAACATGACCCTGGGCCCATCTCTCCACAGGTTCAGATTTCCTACTACTCCACACATAAGCCCCTGCCCCTGGCGTACACAGTGCTCTACCTCACCTGCGTTGGTAAGTTGGGGGCCCTGGTGAGGGTGTGGCCAAAGGGCGTTGGCCAAAGGCAGGATGGGAAGTGGTTGGGAATGACACTGAGCAAGGATCTTTTTACCAATACCAATGAGTTTTTTTTGTTTTTTTGTTTTTAAAGTAAGAAGTGCACATTTAAAAAATTCAAACAGTAAAAAAGAGTATATAGTTGACCCTTAAAAAAACATGGGTTTGAACTGCATGGGTCCAATTATATATGGATTTTTTTTTTTCCCAATTGACCCATGCAGTTCAAACCTGTGTTGTTCAAGAGTCAACTCCATGGTGGGGAATCTGAGCCTGCAGAGGGCTGAGGGTTATATGTGTGAGGTCTGTGCTCCTAACCTCCAAATTGACCAAAGACTACAGGTTCCCCAGGCCCAGCATCCTTCTAAGACGTGTTGTGTTTATATAAATAGACACATGTATATGTGTTTATTCCCCCTCTTTTGTAAGCAAATGGAAGCATATACAGACATGTAGCTGGACCTTGCTTTTTCCAACTTAAATTTTTAGGGGGCTAATTCTTCACAAACTGATATATAAACTCCATGCAACTATCAGACAGGAAATATAAAGTGATTAATATGTTAAAGGCTGTAGAGGAACATACATGAATATGTGGGAAATTTCAGCAGAGAGATGAGAACTATAAGAAGGATTCAAATGGAAATAAAAATCCACATGTTTTTGATAGGTCCATAGATAGACGTGGCACAGCTGAAGAAAGAATTGGTGAACTCGAAGACAGGGCAACAGTTACCAAACTGAAACACAAAGAGAAAGAAAGAATGAAATGAGCAAAATAACAGAACAGAGATTCAACAGCTCTGGGCCAGTATCAAACAGTCTAAATAGAACTTAGTAGGGCTGACCTTAAATCTCATAAAGAAGCACACAGGGCAAGAATAGCCAAGACAATTTTGAGGAAGAACAAGAGGGAGGAATAAATGGTACCAATGGCTTTTCTCCAAGTAGTAGTATTTGAGGCATCTGATTAAATCCAGACCAGAGATCAATAGAAAACTGGCCATAGACCCCTCTCATGTGAAAACCACATGAGAATCAATAAACTTTGAACCATATCTTGTACTATATTGATAAATAAATTCCAGATGGGTTAAAACATTTTTTAATATATTTTTATTGATTTCAGAAAAGAAGGGATAGAGAGATAGAAACATAAATTATGAGAGAGAACCATTGATTGGCTGCCCCTTTCTGGGGATCGAACCTGCAACCCTGCGCATGTGACCGGAATCGAACCCGGATCTTTTGGTTCACAGGCCAGCACTCTATCCACTGATCCAAACCAGCTAGGGCAAGTTAAAAATCTTAAAGTGAAGTCAATATTTTAGAGCTTTTAGAAGAGAATATCTTTAAACTCAAGGTTGTCTTTAACAAGGAAAAATGATAGCACAGATCCTAAAGGGAAAGATGGATGTTAGGCTGCATTAAAATTTAAAACTTCTATACAACAGAGGAATCCAACTCTGGACTGGGAGGAGAAATCTGCAATGCATGTGGCTTCCTTGGAGCATGGAGATTATGGAACACTGCCATCAATAAGAAAAAAAGACAAATGACTAGAAATAGGCGGAAAATGTGAACAAGCAATTCACAGAAGAGAAAGCCGCAGGGATCAGAGCCCAAAGGAAAAGACGCTGGACTTAGTGCTGCCAAGGAGGTGGAGCTGGGAGCTCCTGGCACTGTGGGTGGGAGTTTGCACCACTATGGGTGGTACAAGCACGCGGAGAGCAATTAGCAAGAAGGTTAAAAATGCTCCATCTTCAGGAGGCATTTTAGAAGCAGAACTGTGAGTTATGGGAAATACACATTGTACACTTTGATAGATATTGCCAAATTGCTCTCCAAAAAGACTGTACCACTTGCTATATTTGCCAACAGCGGGTGGATGTGCCTTGCCAACTCTGTGCGCTATCAGCCTTCTTCCTTTGTGCCAATCAGAGGGGCTGTATCTCATTGTTGCTTTAATTCGCCTGCTTTTAGTTTGGACCGAGGTTTCTATCTCCCTGCCTCCCCCTCCCTGAACACACACATTGTTCATTGGAAAGTATCTATATAATAAAAGCCTAAGTGACCATTATGGCAGAATGACCAGAACGACTGGTTGCTGTGATATGCACAGACCACCAGGGGGCAGACTCTCAACACAGGAGCTGTCTCCTGGTGGTCAGTGCACTCCCACAAGGAAGTTGGGCCCAAGGCTGGTGAGCCTCTCTCATCTGCATGTCAACTCTAAGGAGCAGTGAGCAGGTGGGCGGTAAGGAGCAAGGGGTCCCAGACTGCAAGAGGGATGACCGACTGCTGGCTTAGAGCCACTCCCCATGGGTCTAAACCAGCAGTCGGATATCCCCCAAGGGGTCCCAGACTGCGAGAGGGCACAGGCCAGGTTGAGGAACCCTCCCCCACACCTGCCAGTGCACACATTTTGTGCACTGGACCTCTAGTACACACAGAAAAGTGCAGAAAGCTTTATTTTGGTATTGATTTCAGAGAGGAAGAGAGAGGGAGAGATAGAAACATCAATGATGATAGAGAATCATCCTGCACACCCCCCAATGGGGACAGAGCCTACAACCCTGATATGTATCCGGACCAGGAATCAAACCGTGACCTCCTGGTTCATAGGTCAACTCTCAAGCACTGAGTCACACCGGCCAGACAATAAAGCTTTATTTTATGCACACACATTAATGAATAGTGACAAAGCAAATGAATAGCCATCACCCAGGTCAAGAAATGGATCACGACTAGCACCTCAAATAGACCCCTCTCTGATCTCCGGCCTCCTTCCTGTAGAGGTAGCCACTACCTTGCGATAGTATTTGCTTGCTTTTCTTTGTGGGTTTGTCACCTGAGTATGCATACCCAAATAATATCGTCTCTTTTTGCCGCTCTTTGAACGTCCTATGGATGGAATCACAGTGTACATATTATTTTTCTGGGTGGGACTTCTTTTGCCCACATTCTGTTTGTGGGATACATTCATGCACTTGCTGCATGGTGGTTGGGGATCTTTCCAAGTTTAAAAATTATTTCAAATGTTTCCTTATTTCCCCTCCCCCTACCTCTCTCTTGTGAATGCCCTGTATGTGTTATAAAATCTCCCCCGGTTCTAGGGAGACATGTTCAGAAGGTGGGATGGAAGCTGGGATTTTAAGAGTATGGGATGAAGGTGAGGCCCGGGTAGGCTACAGCTGGCAGATGGTGAAGCTCAGGTTTATATCCACATCTATCTGACACCGAGGTCCAGGCTCACTCCCCTATCCCAAGGAGATGAGGCAGCTTCACACAGACCAAGAATGCCAGGGCAACCTGAGCTCAGTGCAGGGTGTGCCCCAGTGAGTGCTGTAGGGATACAGAAGAGGGGGGGATCAGGGAAGGCTTCCTGGAGGGGGCAGCATTTGTCTTGGGCCTTGACTCTGACCCTGCTTCCTCCCCAAGGTTGCTTCCTTTCCCCAGCCCAGGGAGATGCCCCCACCCCACCTCTGGGCAGGGTCTTCTTGGAGATTACTTCCGTTTGCCCAGCCCCAGGTGGGCCCTGAGAGCAGAAGGGAGAAGGTGAAGGTCATAGGCCTGTGTTGACCTCCTGGGAACCCTGTGGTGACATACCCTCTGCCCTCCCCTTGCAGACATCACTCTGGATTGCGACCTGAACTGTGACAGCAGGCAGGACAGGAGCTTTGTGGACAAGGTAGGACATCTGCCCTGGGCCCAGAAAGGGGTGTGGATTCTGGAGCTGCTCTAGGCTGGGTTCATAGAGGCGAGGTTTGACAGGCACCCCCTGCCTCCAGCCCATGCCGAGGTCAGGGGTGCCAGGCATGTGGGACTCTTCCATTACCAGGAGAGAAGCCATCACCAGGGACTAGGAAGCACACACGTGCTCAGCGCTAGGCGAGGCCTTGTGTTGTGGGAACCTCCTTCTGTATTTTTCCATCTAGGTTGGGGGTCAGTAAACATTTTCTGTAAAAACAAGATAGTAAATACTTTAGGCTTCACAAACCATCCAATCTCTGCTGCAGCTACTTGATTCTGCCATTGTAGTGTGAAAGAGCTACAGTCAGTATGTAAACAAATGCATATGACTGTGTTCCAATAAAACTTTATTTACAAACACAGGCCAAGGGCCGGATTTGGCCCAGGGGCCATAGTGTGCAAACTCCTTGATCTAGGTGTAAAGGGAAATCTACCAAGTATGAAACCGTTAGAGAACTCTGGGCTGAATTGTGGTGGCACTTCACGTAGCAGGAGTTCGGAGGAAAAGGTCAAGTTGGCTGGGTGAGCGAGGAAGATTTTCTGGCAGCAAGTCCACTTGAGCTGGAACCTAAAAGGACATAAAAGGAAGGGCAGTCCCAGTGGAGGGAACAGCAGGAGCTAAGGCTGGAGACAGGGATGGACTTAGAATTAGGAAGTTGCCTGTTGAGAAAGAGGACAGCCAGCCATGAAAGACAGATGCCAGCTTTGACTTGATGATGTGGGCAGTAAGGATCCATTGCTGTTTATTTCCTTTCTTTTTAAAAAAAATATTTTTATGGATTGGAAAAAGGAAGGAAGAGGAAGAGAGAGACAGACACATCAATAATGAGAGAGAATCATTGACTGGCTAGCTCTTTCTGCCCCGCACTGGGGATTGAGCCTGCAACCCAGGCATGTGCCCTGACTGTGAATTGAACCATGAACTTTGCTTCATAGGTTGATGCTCAATCACTGAGCCACACCGGCTGAGCCATTGCTGTTTTCTGAGCAGGAGGTGCTTCAGTGAGAGCGGACCTGACCTCAGAGGGCAGGATGGGATTGGCTAGCCGAGAGGATGCTGGGGAGGGAGGCACAGGTGTGGTCCCACCTCCCCATCACCAGCTTTGCTTTGTCATTGGCAGCGCCAGTGGGTCTGGGGGCCTGATGGGTATGGGGCCATCCTGCTAGTGAACTGTGACAGGGACGACCTGAACTGTGATGACCGGGACAACTGTGACCAGCACGTGCGCTGCCTGCAAGGTGAGGGGCCCAGGGCAGCCCGTGTCCCCGGGTGTCCAAGGTCACTGCTCACCTCATTTGTAGGGACTCCAACCCATAGGCACGGCCATGAAGGCAGAGCTGGGGGCCAGAGGTCCAGCTCCCAGACACACCTTTTTAAAAATATATATATTTTATTGATTTTTTTACAGAGAGAAAGAGAGAGGGATAGAGAGTTAGAAACATCGATGAGAGAGAAACATCCATCAACTGCCTCTTGCACACCCCCTACTGGGGATGTGCTAGCAGCCAAGGTACATGCTCTTGACCAGAATTGAACCTGGGACTTTTCAATCCGCAGACCGATGCTCTATCCACTGAGCCAAACCGGTTTCGGCCCAGACATACTTGGACGGTTTTCTCAACCGGCCTTGGGCTGGCAGCTGCCCCCTGCAGCATCCCCGGTGCCATGCACGCCCCAGGATGGAACTCAAGAAAGAAACTCTCCCCTTCCTCTCCCTCCAGGGGAGCAGGGGATGCTCACATTATCTGAGCACCTCCTGCGGGCCAGACCCTTTCCCCAAATTCTCTGTCTGGCTCCCCAGACCTGGAAGACATGTCCGTCATGGTCCTGCGGACCCAGGGCCCTGCAGCCCTCTTCGATGACCACAGACTCGTCCTCCACACCTCCAGCTACGACGCCAAGTGGGCGCGGGTATTCCACGCCTGCGGTGAGTTCACGCCCCTCCCCCCCTGCCCAGTGCTGGGGGACAGTTCTGCCCGGGCTCCCGGGTGCCCTGGGGGCCGGAGGAACGGTCAGATGCGTGAGCTCCGGGCCTGGCCAGCTGGCGTCTCCAGCACAGGCGTGGCCCGAGGTTGTCTTATTGGATGAATGGATTTTTAAAATGTATTTCAAGCATGTCTAGAAATGTTTGCTTTCAAAATACTTCAAATGTGCACAAAAGCAGGGAGAACAGTGTCACGAACGCCCAGAGGCCAACCCCTCAGATTCAGCAGGGATCACTCTCTGTCATTCTTGCTTCCTCTATCCCTCGCTGTTTCCAGAGGTGTTCCTCAGCCAGTCCCAGGCACCACGGTTGCGGGCCCTGCAGAATTCGGGGTGCATTTCCCGGAGAAAAGCCATGACTACTTCACGTAGCTACAATGGCAGTACCGCCAGTCCAAGCAAGGATGCAAAAGACCTCCTCACAATACAAATCAACACAAGTCATAAGATGCTCGCTTTTTTAAAAGACCAAAGAGTATAAAAGCATCTGGAGTGAAAAATAAGAGTCCTCTATCCCTAACCCTAAACCTGACTCTTAAAATGTGTTCACTGACAAGGATCCGGTCTGTGTTCTAACCACTTTTTCTATATGTACTGAATGTGCCTCTGTGTGCGTGCACATGTGTGTGCGTGCGCGTGCAGGTGCGTGCATGGTGTGCCTATTCTGCTTTCCAACCTGTTTCTTTCACTGAACCATATACTCAGCCCCTCTTTCTGTGCATTTATCGGGTCTGCTTTATTCTTTTCCCCAGCTCCATGGCCTTCCAAAGCTAGAGATGCTGCACCCTACCCTGCCCCCTGGGTCATTCGGCTGCTGATTTTACGATAGGTTCATTGAAGGCAGGGGCCTAGCTCATGGCGGTATCCTGAGTCCACAGCTGTGCCTCAGACGCACATAGTAGGTGCGCAGTGAATGTTTCTTTGATGAACACGTAAACCACCAGTGAAGACCCTGGTGTGTGTCTTTAAAAAAAATATATTTTATTGATTTTTTACAGAGAGGAAGGGAGAGGGATTGAGAGCCAGAAACATCGATGAGAGAGAATCATCAATCAGCTGCCTCCTGCACACCCCCTACTGGGGATGTGCCCGCAACCAAGGTACATGCCCTTGACCGGAATTGAACCCTGGACCCTTCAGTCCGCAGGCTGACGCTCTATCCACTGAGCCAAACCAGTATCGACTGGTGTGTGTCTTTTGTAGGAAAGACACCTACAAGTGGAACGGCTGGTTAGGAGTACATATGACTTTGTTAGATCCGCCAACTTGTCCCCCACCACTCGCCTTGCCTGCATGGCGCATTAAGCACCATTTCCCCCCCTTGCCAGTGGGAGGTGAGGCGCCAGAATTGTCTGGCCAGCATTTGGGGTGAGGTAGCACACAGCTCTCCTGCGCCCCTCATGCTGCCCGGGCCCCCCAGGGAGCCACAGCTGCTACTCTGGTCCCCTCCCAGGCCCCGAGGACTCGTGCGAGGCCTACAGGCACGTGCTGGGCCGGGACAAGGTGTCCTACGAGGTGCCCCGCTCCCACGGGGACGAGGAGCGCTTCTTCGTGGAGGGCCTCTCCTTCCCCGACGCCGGCTTCCCCGGCCTCGTCTCCTTCCACGTCACCCTGCTGGACGACTCCAATGAGGTAGGGTAGCCGGCAGAGACCAGACAGAAAGGCTCTGTCCTGGGAGAGACGGGCACTGCTGGTGGGAAAGACCCCCCCACAACCTCCCCCTATCCCTCCCCAAATCCCCGCCCCCGTCCTCTCTAGAACCCTAGACAAAGCACTTGCTCAGGGCCCGCGGGGCTGAGTCGGCCTGGCCTCTGGACCCCCCGGCCCGGGCTCTGTCCTCTGCGCTCTCCCCCTGCAGGATTTCTCCGAGTCCCCCATCTTCACCGACACGGTCGTGTTCCGGGTGGCCCCCTGGATCATGACGCCCAGCACCCTGCCGCCCCTTGAGGTGTACGTGTGCCAGTGAGTCTGGGAACACGGGCGTCCTTCTGACCCTGGTGGCCCCTCCCCCCCGCCTGGCTCTGTCCTGAGCCGCTTGCCTGGCCTGTCTGCAGGGTGAGGAACAACACGCGGTTCGTGGACGCGGTGGCGGAGCTGGCCATGAAGGCCGGCTGCAAGCTGACCATCTGCCCGCAGGCCGAGAACCGCAATGACCGCTGGATCCAGGTACCACACCACCGGGCAGTACCCAGCCAGGACGCCGGCCCGGAGGGGAGGCGGGCCTGTCCCCACGGGGTGGGGCGGAAGGTGACGGGAGCACCCAGGAGGACCTGGGCGCTGGGTCGCTCTCCCTGGCCACTGCTCTCTCTCATTCTAGACCTAGGGCTCACCCCCTGTCTCCAGAACTTTCTGGAGACCCAGGAACATATTGATGCTAGATTCAACACCCATTTACCCCCAGGATCCAGGCTAGGCACTGTGTTGGCCACACACGCCCTGCCCTTAGCAACCTGGACCAGGGGTCCCCGGGGGATAGCGAGCCATCTGAGGCGTTTTAGATGGCCACCCTGACGTGTGGATGCTACTGGCTCCCGGCCCCTATGGGAAGGGATGATCTGGCTCCAAATGTCAATAGAGCCGAGGCCGAGAGGTGGTGGAAATCCCAGCTCTCACCATCTAAGATGCTGCAGGGGGACCCGCTAAGTGCCCCCTGCAGGAGGGTTTGCAAGAGGTGGCATCCCCTCAGTCAGGGGATCAGTGATGGCCTCCAGGAGGAAGGGCATCTGAGCTGGACCGGACTTGGCAAATGGATGGGGAATGGCTTCTGCCACTCAGTGAGCGCTTACCAGCCATGTGCCATCACCATGTGCCATTCCATCTTCCTGGCAACCCCCTGTCATTACCCACCGAGTAGCTCTCAGGGGTGCAAGTGCCCAGGGCCAAACAGCTGGTAAGGGCCATGCTGGGACTCAGGGGATGGTGGCCCTGGCCGAGGAGCAGCATGTGCAAAGGCCCAGAGGTCGGAGGCATGAGAAAGAATGTCACATGCTCCCCTTGGCCAGGGCCAAGTTTCTGTCAAGAGTAAGAGCTGAGGAGGGAGACCTTGACTGCCAGCCTAGGAGCTGTCATGGCTGGAGGTTCCTCCAATGAACCAAGTTTACTAACGAGACAAGTTGGATTGGACTCTGGCTGTGCTGCTGATTGGCTGTGCACCCTTGGACAAATAACTAGACCTCTCTGTTCTTCACTTTCCTCGTTGGTAACCCGGGGTAGTAATAGTGCCTCCATATAGGCATGTCAGGGGGATTAATGGAGTTAATACCCATCAAGAGTCCTGGGCAGCCGAAACTGGTTTGGCTCAGTGGATAGAGCATCGGCCTGTGGACCGAAAGGTCCCGGGTTTGATTCCAGTCAAGGGCATGTACCCTGGTTGCGGGCATATCCCCATTAGGGGATGTGCAAGAAGCAGCTGATGGATGATTCTCTCTCATTGATGTTTCTAACTATCCCTCTCTCTTCCTCTCTGTAAAATAAATAAATAAATAAATAAATAAATAAATAAATAAATAAATAAATAAAATATATATATTTTTTAAAAGAGTCCAGGGCAGGGCACCTAACAGGGAGCTTCTCTTGGGTTTGTAGGTTGTCTATGCTGGGCCATCTTTGCCTCCAGGACCAGAGGGGTCAGAATTGGCCTGGGCACATTTATGAGTCTGAGAAGGAAGCAGATCTGTATCTCCTCAGGTCCTCTCAGCTCTGTCCAGCGGTCAACCCCTCATGACAGCATGTGGAGGCCAGGGGTGCTGGCTGGTGCCCAGTGCCTTCCTTGTCTAACTCGGGCCATCCTGAGTCCTTCTCTGTGTCCACGCTGCCCTGACCCAGCACGGGGGCACCCGCAAGGTCATGTCCACATTCTCATTTATTCCTGGGTTTGATTCCGGTCAAGGGCATGTACCTTGGTTGCAGGCACGTCCCCAGTAGGGGGTGTGCAAGAGGCAGCTGATCGATGATTCTCTCTCATCGATGTTTCTAACTCTCTATCCTTCTCTCTTCCTCTCTGTAAAAAATCAATAAAATATATATTTTTTTAAAGTTGCGATTTCCCCCCAATTTTTAATAATTTGTCCTGCATCCCGCGGCGTTTTAAAAAAGTCCCGATTTTTGGCAAAAACTTTTTTAAAACGCCGTGGGACGTGGGACAAATTGTTAGAAATCAGGACTGTCCCGCCAAAAGCGGGACGTCTGGTCACCTTAGCCTAGTGCCCAGCAAGCGTGGGAAGTGGTGGCTGTCCACAGCGGGGCGTCTCTCTCGTTCGCAGGACGAGATGGAGCTGGGCTATGTCCAGGCGCCGCACAAGACCTTCCCGGTGGTGTTCGACTCGCCCAGGAACGGGGAGCTGCAGGACTTCCCATACAAGAGGATCCTGGTGAGCGGACCAGGGGCAGCCCAGCCCTGGGGTGCATGGACCCTGAGGGGTGTGGCGTGCAGGGGGCATGCCAGGAACCACCATCTTTCACAACAGGAGTAGCGTTGCCAGGGAACATGTTGGAGATGCCCAGTTAGATTTGGATTTCAGATAAGCAACGAGTATTTTTGTGGTGAAAGTACATGCCCAACATTGCATGGGACGTACTTCTACTAACATGTATTTGTCATGTGTCTGGGATTCAGATGCCACTGGGCATCCTGCACTTTTAAAAATATATATTTTATTGATTTTTTACAGAGAGGAAGGGAGAGGGATAGAGAGCTAGAAACATCGCTGAGAGAGAAATGCCGATCAGCTGCCTCCTGCACACCCCCCACAGGGGATGTGCCTGCAACCAAGGTACATTGAACCTGGGACCCTGAGTCCGCAGGCCAACGCTCTATCCACTGAGCCAAACCGGTTTCAGCCATCCTGCATTTTTTTTTTTGCTCGGTCTAGCAAGGGGAGCGGGGCAGGGCAGCTGTTAAGAACACAGGTTGTGGCTTCAGAACAGGTCAGCTCTGCCACTCACAGGCTGTGTGACCTTGCCTGAGTCCCTCTCCCTCTCTGAACCTCTGTTTCCTCATCGATGGAACTGACGTGCTAGCCCTGGCCTCACAGGCGTTGGCGAGGCTTCTCTGTCTGTGCAGGGGGAGCCTGCTGGTGTTGTCTGTAATAGGATAGCTGTGGGGTGATGGCTGCTGACCAGGATCTCCTCAAGGAAGGAGGGGAGATTCCATGGGTGCCCAGAGAATGGGGCCCTCCAACCCCCGCACTGGATCACACAGGTGGTAGGGGCTCACTCCACTTAACATCCCAGGAAGCTCTCTCCTCTTCCAGAGCTGAAAGACTGAGGTTCAGAAAGCCACCACCAGCCTTGTGGTCCCAGAGACAGGCCACGCGAGAGCAGCCAGATGCCTGCTCTGGGGCTGGACTTGGCAGCAAGTCTGTGCAGCGTAAGAGGGTGGCCATGGCCTCAGGCTCCATGTCTAACATGGCAGCAGGGCCAGAGGGCTTGTGTGTGTCCCAACTTTGGCCCCCGTGCATGCCTGAAATATTGAATCAATCAGATCCCAGGCTTTGACTCACTGTTTCCATCTGAAGAATGGGCAGACACCCCTGCCCCACCTTTAAGGAATTCAGAACCCGGAAAGTTGCTTTTCAAGCTCTTAATGATGGCCAACTGCCCCCCTCAGCCATGCTGACTCGGTTTCCCCATCAGGGTCCAGATTTCGGCTATGTGACTCGGGAGCCGCAGGACAGCTCTGTGTGTGGCCTGGACTCTTTCGGAAACCTGGAGGTCAGCCCCCCAGTGGTGGCCAACGGGAAGGAGTACCCCCTGGGGAGGATCCTCATTGGGGGCAACCTGCCTGGGTGAGAGGGGGCAGGGAGAGGTGTGGCTGGGAGGGAGGCTGAGGTGGTGATGGTGGCTACTCCACTCCTCAGAGAGGACCAGAAAGGAGGGATAAAACGGTAGTCCTGGATGCAGGGGGGAGGTGCGGCCGGGAAGGCAGTGAGCTGTTTACCGGACACTGTCCACCATTACCTGGGGGGTTTGAGAAGACTAGAATGGGCAGGGCCCCAAGAGGTCCCTCACCCTTTTATTTTACAAGTGGGCTCAGAGAGGGTGAGCGACCTGGGAAGGTAGCACAGAACGCAAAGTTATAACTAGACGCAGGTCTTCCCATTCAGAAAATAAGTAGATGTTGCTACCAATTAAAAAGGAAGAAAAAGCTGTAAGTCTCAACAGTCCTGGGAGAAACTGCATTTAAGTCAGAGCTTGTTTATACTAGGATGTAAATGACTAATATAAATCTTTTCCTGAGAGCAGGAGAAGGGAGATATAAGACATGAAAACTGAAATAGCAGTAATGCATACAGAATAACAGATTATGTCTTTATCCAAACGTTACACCTGCGTACCAATGGACAAGAGAAGGGATTATATGATAACTAGAGGCCTGGTGCATGGATTCATGCACTGCTGGAGTCCCTTGGCCTTGCCTGTGGGGATTGGGTCGAAACCAGTTCTCCGACATCCCCTGAGAGATCCCGGATTGGGAGAGGGCACAGGCCAGGCCGAGGGACCCCACCGGTGCACGATAGGGGCCAGGAGGGATTGCAGGAGGGCTCCAGGGCATGTCCGGCCCTTCTTACCCAGTCCAATCAGCCAGACCCCAGCAGCAAGCTAACCTACCAGTCAGAGTGTCTACCCCCTGGTGGCCAGTGAGGGTCATAGCAACTGGTCAAACTGTTGAACAGTAGGACACTTAGCATATTAAGCTTTTATTATATAGGATGGTCATTAGCTATGCAGCAGACCAACGTGTAGAGTAAAACAAATTCAGCAGAGCAGTTAGAACAGACTTGGGGTCAAATAACAGGTGACTCCAGAAGCTTTTTTTTTGGGGGGGGGGGGGACTAACTGCCCTCAAACATATGATCCCACAGAAAGAGGAAGTTAGATATTTTCTCAGAAGGCAAAGAAGAATGGGATCTACATTCACTACCATAAGGCCCCTCCAGGGTGATCTTGTCCGCCTCTCCCCACTGATGTGCAGGGGGTGAGGCTGCAGTGAGAGAAATGGAAGACAAACTCAAGGAAGGACCACCCAGCCGTGGGCTGGATGTAGGGGTGCAATCAGTGTCTTGGAGAATGGGAGGATGGGGTTCGAGGGCGGCTCTGAGGATTTGCCTGGATGGCGAGCCCTGGTGTGAGTGACCTGTCCTGTGTGCCCCTTGGAGAACTCACCTTGGGATCAAACGCCATCTGTATGTATGTATATATATATGTGTATGTGTGTATGTATGCATGCATGCATGTATGTATGGTACTTCCTGCTTACAAAGGCAATGCTTTTTGGTAGATATTGCAGGTAGCTTGGACTCTTGTCTTTCCATTTCCGCACAGATTTTTTCTTTTTAAGTTAAGCAACCCTTTTTTAACCCCCGTGGGCCCCAGGTCAAGCGGCCGCAGGGTCACCCCGGTGGTGCGGAACTTCCTGCACGCGCAGAGGGTGCAGCCCCCCGTGGAGCTCTTTGTGGACTGGCTGGCCGTGGGCCACGTGGATGAGTTTCTGAGCTTCGTCCCGGCCCCCGACGGGAAGGTAAGGGCTTGGTGACACGGCTGTTGGCGCCTGGGCAGGGGGTGCGCTCCCGGGGCCCGTGCTGAGGAGTCCGCCCTCTCCACACAGGGCTTCCGGATGCTGCTGGCCAGCCCCAGCGCCTGCCTCAAGCTCTTCCAGGAGAAGCGGAAGTGGGGCCACGGCAGGGCCCTGCTGTTCGAAGGGGTTATTGGTGGGTACCACTGTCCCTCATCATGGCCTTACATCCCTCCGCGCACACCGGGACTTGAGAGAGGGCTGGCAAATTTTAAAATAGGGCAGTCCCCCTCAATCCAGGAGCCCTCACCCCTGCCACTGCTCGCCCTGCCCCTCCAGCCACCCTGGGCCACTCGGGGGCAGAGCTGGCAGGACAGCTGGTGGACGACGGGCTTGGGATGGGCAGGGACAGAGTGGAGACAGGGCCAGCCTCATGGGCATGCGACCAGGCTAGCCCACATGCCCTCTGCTCAGCAGGCCCCTCCCTTGAGGTTTAATGCTCGGCTGCCACTGTCCTGAAAGTCTTAACAATCTGTGCTTTGTGAGTGAATCCCATTGTTTCACGGAGCATCTAATGGGGTCTTGGGGCCTGGGCTCCTGATGGCCCTGTGAACAGTCCTGTCCCCTGACACCTCCCATAGCCCCAGGCTCCCCTCCCCGTCCCTGCCAAGCCGCCAACCCCTGTGGGAGCCTGGGTGTCAGGAGGGTTGGGCACATGTCCCCGCAGCATCTGGGGGAGGAGCTGGCCTGGACTGGCAGCTCCAGGGGCATGTGGCGGGGATGATAATGGGTGTGGCAGGGTTGCAGGAGGGTTAAATGAGGTACTGAAGGTAGAGCTCTGACCTCAGGGAAGAGCCGGATAAATATCAGCCGTGAGAAGTGTGCGCTGCTGGCTCTAACCTCCCCTTCCCTGTCCAGCCCTGTCTCCTCGGGCACCCCACCTAGCAAGCAGGAAAGCCAGGCCTCCGGGGAGCTCCATGCTTCACCCCTTGGAGGGCAGGGGCAGGGTTCAATGGTGGGCAGGTGGGTGGCCCGGCTCTGCCCCTCCATGAGACCAGAGAAGAGGAACCATCACCCAGTGCCCTGCGGGGAGGGCAGTGTAGATTTCCAGTTAAAGGCATTACCACTCCCAATGAACGCAAGCAAGGTCTAAGTTCCCAGCGCTGTGGTTCCCTGTCCCTCCCACCCTTTCATCCCTCCCACCCTCCCACACCCAGACTTGCTCTGTGGCCAAGCTGAGCTGGGCTGGCTGGTGCCTGCCAGCCAGACAGGCCAGAGAGCTGCTGACTCTGCAGGGCCAGTAGCTGCGAACTTGGCCCCTGCCTGGCTGCTTCCCAGAGCAGGGGCCCTCACTACTGGCGTTGTTCCCCTCTCTCTCTCTCTCTCTCTCTCTCTCCTCTCCCCTTCACAGGTAGTAACAACCAGGTCAGCACCATCTCCATCAACCAGGTCCTCTCCAATAACAACCTCATCAGCTACAATAAGTTTGTGCAGGTACAGTGTCCCCATTGGCGGAGCCAACCGGAAGCCAGTGGCACAGGAGACCTGATTTTCTGGGATGGCCTCCCGGGGCATGGAGCAGAGGTGTCCGGCATGTCTGGGAGGACAAATGGAATCTCCTGGGTCCTGCCGGCACAGATCCAAGATGGGGTTGGACAGCAAGGCTGTGTCAGGGACAGTGCCTGTCCCAGGGGAGAGGCGGGGCTGGATGGGGGATGGCTGAGGGCCGGCCCTGAGAGGAAGGGGGCTGGGGGGGGGGGATGGCTGAAGGCGGCTCTGAGGGAAGGAGGAGGCAGGCAGGCTGAGAGGCAGACACTGGGGAGTCGCCAGTGTCTCCATGGTGTTCAGACCGCGAGACTGAAGGAGTTCCCTGAGGAGGGAAGGGTCTAGAGAAGAAAGAGGGGCAGGGATGGAGCCCTCTGTCTCACATTGAGCCCATGAGGAGTGGGACAGGACAGTGTGTTTGACGAAGGGATGCAAAGATAAGGTTCATGGGGGGAGTTGATCCGTTGGCACCTGGGCAGCCCGCCTCTCCTTAACCAAACATGACCCCACGGGGCCTGCAACACACATGGCAGGGGCTCCCCAACTCTACCTCCCTCTCCCCCAGAGCTGCATCGACTGGAACCGGGAGGTGCTAAAGCGGGAGCTGGGCCTGACCGAGCAGGACATCCTGGACATCCCGCAGCTCTTCAAGACCGAGAGGAGGAAGGCGGTGGCCTTCTTCCCCGACTTGGTGAGGCCACCTCCCCTCTTCCTCCTCCCCCCTCCCCCCATGACCTAAGGTTTCCTCCAGTTAGACGTTAAGCCTCCCCTCTGAGGAGGGGCACACTGCCTGGTTGCTGCCACGGTTGGGGTTGGAGTTGGGGTTGGGGTTGGGGTTGGGGTGGCTGGTGGGGAGGCGGAGAGCAGCGGGGTCCCATCACGGCCAGCAGAAGGGCTGCTAATTGGCTGATAGTCATGGTCACTACAGATGCTCACTGGCCAAGCCCCTTGCTCAAGGGCCATCAGGGACGGGCCCTGCCTGCTCCCAGGGACCCCCTTGTATTTGCGGAGTGAAAGGATGGTTACCCGAAGGGTGTGTGTAAAACCCGCATCATCAGCTGGAGCCGAGGTGCCCATTCTGCTCCTTGTCCCACTCACAGCACTCCATCCATCCCCCCCCCCCCCACACACACACACACGCGGGTGCCTGTGGGAGAGGCGGAGAGGATGGAGGCTCTCCCTGCTCACGGAGCCTCCAAGCTAATCCGAGATGGGAGACTTCCCCTCTGCAAACTGTCCCAACCATCTATCTTGTATAATCACGTGATGTGGTGGTTCAGAGGTCGGACAAAGCACTCGCAGCCTAAGAGGCAGGACTGAAAGTCCAGGAAGGCTTCATGGAAGAAGTGGCCTTTGGTTGAGCCCTGAGGGTTCAAAATTTAAACTTGCATCTGGAATGCCTGGACCACCGGGCTCCACCACAGGGGTTCTTATTGGGCAGGTCTGAGGCACTGCTTCCTTTCCAACCAGGACCCAGGTGCCACCATGCTGCTGTCTGGGGACCACACATTGAGTAGCACTGCTGGAGATCCTCCCCAGTGCTCCTCCCCCTCTCCCTCTCTCCTCCCTCTCTATCCTCCACCCCCATCCTCCAGAGAAGCACTTTCTCATCATCAGAGCCTTGCAGAGAGCCTGTCCACACCACCATTGCTTCATCCCCCGCCCCCTTTCCTTCCTTTTTCTGGCCTTTTTGCCTTCCTCCGTTTCCCCTCCTGCAGGGCCTCTCCACTCCCCTTCCTTCCTGCACATTCACGGCGGCCTTGCATTATGTGTGTGCTCCCAGAGCGTGTTTGCAGGACACGGCGGGCCACCTGAGCCAGCTTCAGGCAGAGAGGACGATGTAACACAAGGGCACCTGGAACCAGCTCTTATCTCTTGTCCATTCCCATCCCTCTTCCCCTCCCTCCTCCTTCCTCTTCCCACTTCCAGCGTGGCTTCCTTGGCCTCTCTGTCCCTGGGGATCAATAGGAATATGACCTCGCATTATAGATACAGGCGCAGAGACTGACTTGACCTGCCACGTGAGCTTCAATACCGAGAGAGGATCTGATTGGTCCTGCTTGGCTCAGCTATCTCCCCTGCTCCCCAGGCATGGCAGCTGCCACAATCCCCCAATAGGAAGAGCAGTTACCAGAGACGTGGAATGCACAGCTGGCCGGAGGTCCTACCAGCCCACGTCTCTCTCCCACTCCCTGAAAGGGCGAGTGGCTATTTGCAAGGTTGTCTAAGAGACTAAGTAATTCAGGTGCTGCCAGCTGTAGGGAAGGTGCCGGGGTGGGAGCCAAGGATGAACCTCCACCCCTGACCCGGGCCCTCCCCGCTCTGCAGGTGAACATGCTGGTGCTGGGCAAGCACCTGGGCATCCCCAAGCCCTTCGGGCCCATCATCAACGGCCGCTGCTGCCTGGAGGAGAAGGTGCGGTCCCTGCTGGAGCCGCTGGGCCTCCACTGCACCTTCATCGACGACTTCACCCCGTACCACATGCTGCATGGGGAGGTGCATTGTGGGACCAACGTCCGCCGTCAGCCCTTCCCCTTCAAGTGGTGGCACATGGTGCCCTGAGCCCGTCCTGCCCGCCCTCCTCTCCCCCTGGGGCGGGACACGGGCGGAGGGGATGGAGACTGAGACAGGCCCCCAAGGAAGTGTCAGGAGACCCCACGTGTCCAGCTGGAACGCCGAGTGTGACCCGCCCCTCTCCGAAGCCGTTTTTCCTGCAAGTCTCCACGCCTCGCCAGCAGCCCATTTGGTCCTCAGGCGTGATGCCTGCCGGCCTCCAAGGGGGACTTCATTTCTTGTGGCCTTTCCTGCAGAGGACTCCGCCACTCATCCCCCACCCCCAGAGCCTCCCTATGGAGCCAAATTCTCTTTGGGTTCTAGAGATATCCACGTATCTCACCTGCCCTTTGGTCCCGTGTGTCCGATGGAGGAAGGACCCACGATTCCGCTCTGGTCCTGATTGCCTCTCCTCTGCAAGGGACCGGCCCCGAAGTCAGTCCTTCCCCAGAGGAGAGAGTCCGCCCACAGCCTCACCCGCCGAGAAGGAGCTGGAGGCCCCCTTCGCTTGAGGGGGAACCATCGGCCACGCTCCTGACCAGACCCTGAACTCTACCCGCCCCTTGCCCAACATGAGCTTTCTCATAGTAGGAGCTCCCGGTGTTGGATGAAGAAATGATAGTTGTCCCCAAGCTTTATAAACGCCCCATCACGTGCCCTTCAGAAATCTGACTGTGTGCAAAAACCTCCTGGAATCTCTCGGAGATGAAATTGGGGGATTCCTGGAGGCTGGGAAGCTTGTGGGTGCAGGGCGGGGAGCATCCTTCAGGACGCACAGGTGCTCTGTTGGCTGTGGGACCTCACTCTGTGGGTGGGGACACCCCGGCAGGATTAGCCCTCTGTGCCTCAGAAGGTCAAACAGGGGTCTAACCTACAGAGCCAGCTCTGGGAATGAACCCTCTGAGCACAGGGGGGGAGGGAGGGAGAGCGGGTGGTGTCTCCGGGTGTGTGTGTTACTCATGTGTTCTGTACGGGTCCAACTGTGTTCCCATCACTGGCTAATAAACCTACAGAAGCACAAACAGTTTGCGTCTAATTTTGGCCTTTTCTCGGGGATTAGAACAGGGCAGTGAGAACAGCTGCCTGCAGCTGAGGCATGCGCTTGCCTGGTCCCCGAAGATTTTGGGGTGGTGAAGCCCAGGTTTTAGGGAGACGATGGGATTGCTCTGCCTTGGCCACAGGATGGGTTAGGGCTGGCACGGGCACATCAGTGCAAGCCCAGGGGTCAGACGCTAGACTGCCAGGACCCAGTGAGCCTGGCAGGGCAGAGGGCGGGGCTGTGGCCGGAAGGTTGCGCTGTGCGTGTGGCAATGGGGGAAGCCGATGTGGGTGGAACATGGGGCAACCTGCTGCGGGCTCTGAGCAACATCCCCTTCCTGCCCGTGGGGAGGCCTCAGGAGCCCCCTAAAGGGCCAGTGAGCTTGCTACCGAGCCCCAGGAAATCACTGCTTTTGCTATCACCGTCCCAACAGCCTTATAAACTCCCCATTGGGCTGCCGTTCAGAAATCTGGCTCCGTACAAAAACCTCCCGCAGTTTCCTGGAGAGGGAAGTATCTGGGGGATTTCTGGCGGGTGGGGAGACCATGGGCAGGGCAGGACAGTATGAACAGTTGGCCCTGGGATGGGCAGGATGGGCTGGACCATGGCCGGGCACTCTGCCCATCCACCACAAGCTCCAGGTGAGGCCACATGGCACAACAGAAAGGCCATGTGCCGCAGAGTCCAGTGATCCCCTGCGGAACGGGTGCTCTCAGCTGTGCACTGAACCTCTCTGAGCCTCAGTTTTCTCCTCTGCGAAATGGGCATCACTGTGTCTGCCCCACAGAGCTTGCATAAGTGACACAATTAGAGACATGATGTAAGCGCCTGGCGCTTGAGGAAGTGCTCGGTAAATGATGGCTATTGCTATGTAGCATCCCCCAGCCCCTCCTCTAGCCACTGCCCTTCAGATAAATTCCCAATTCCCGCGTTCTAATGGGGGACAAAGGTCCTCTGAGAAGGGAAGGAAGGGAAGACTGTCCTGGCAAGTTTTAGATCGTATCCTGCTGGTCTCAGCTTTTTAATTTTTTAAAATTTGTTATTGGTTTCAGAGGGGGAGAGGGAAAGAGAGAGATAGAAGCATCCATGTTGAGGGAGAATCGTGGATTGGGTGCCTCCTGCACACCCCACACTGGGGATCGAGCCTGCAAACCTGGGCGTGTGCCCTGACTGGGAATCAAACCCTGACCTCCTGGTTCAGAGGTCGTGGCTCAGTTGCTGACAGCTTTAAGAGATGAATCAGGGAGGAGGCTCCGGCCCAGACAGGAAACCAAAGGCCTGACTTCCTTCTGAGGATTTACAGCTCTGGGAGGCGCTGGGCCTGCCCGACTCACACTTCGTTCAGAATTAGGAATACGTGACTGCAGGGCCTTGGGAGGAGGCTGCCCAGCGCTGCCCTCCTGCACCCTGGGCGGCCCTGGAGGGTGGGGGTGTTAGGCTGGGGCGGCTGGGGCTCAGACAGATGGCAGGTAAGGAATTCTGGATGACACCCAGAGCCTGTGAGAACGGTCACTACAAAGCCCATGTCATCCCCTACAACCTGCAGCTCAAAGGAGCAGTGGGCAGATTTCCCCCAGGTCCATTCCCCCGCAGTGAGTCACCCCCGTTCTGGGCCCCAGACCTTGACCTCCGGTCCCGGCATTTTCTTGTGATGGAGGCGAGGATAAGGATGGCTGCTCCTGGGAGCAGGGACAGGGGTCAGCCTTGGAATTCCTGGAAAGGAACGCACACGGGACACCAGGCTGGGCACTGTCACTGCGGGCACTCAGTAGAGGGTCTGCCGTGACCCAGCTGAAAAGAAGCCACCGCTGGCCTCTCTCTGCAGCAGCTCTGTCCCTGAGGAGGCGAAGGCCAACCGGACAGCGAGTCTGCAGTTTCTCCTTTGAACCATTCTTGGGCCTTTCAAGGTAGTCTCAGCATCCTGAGGAACTACACCTCAGCGCTAATTATATGAATCCGGAAAGTTCCAGTCACAAGAATTACAGCTGCCCCAGGCCGTTCCCAGGGCTCCGGCAAGCAGGCACCTGTGCGGGGCGGGACAGGGCGAGGCATCGCTCCGAAATGCCTTTTTATGTGAGCGACGCCACCCATAGGCACTGGACAGAGCAGTCACTATAGTTCTGTATTTTTTTTTAATTTTTTTTGTACACTGGACACAATCCTCAAGGGATTTGAGGCCACTTATAAAAAGTCAGCTGGGGGGGAAAAAAAAAAAAGTCAGCCAGCTGATGGTTAAAAATTATATTAATAGCAACGTAAAGACACCAAAGCAGGGGAAATCTAGGAAAGATGGGCCGGGGGAAAGGGCAGACATCTCTGACCCTGAGATTCCGTGTGGTTAAGATCAAACTTAGGACCAGCATGGGCCATGTCATCCTCCCTGTCAGAGAGAAGACAGCCTGCCCACTGACTCCTACCACACGTGAGCCTGTTTGGAAGGACACAGAGTGGCCAGCGTCCTCAATGGCCTGGCAGCAGCGAGTGCGGTGAGAGGTTTCCCAGGGCCCGGCCCGGTGTGCTCATCTGTAAAATGTGAGAACCAGACCAGGGCCTGGCAGGCAGTAAGCCCCCCACTAATGTTCATTTCTTCTCTCCGTCCCCGTCCCCACAGCCCAGGAGCCTTACTCACTGTCTCCAAGACAGCTACGAATATTCAGGCCTGTGTGATTCGGCACACGTACCCCGGCCCTGGGTCCGGCTCAGAGAGAGATTCTGGCGCCCCAGCCGGGAATGAGCAGCCGTGGACCCTGACTGGAGGAGGCTCACAGAGGAGAAGAGAAGTAGGGCTGGCAAACAGACAAGGCAGCATGGCCTGGTGAGTACAATTATAAAGGAATAGTAGTAGCTACAATAGCTTCCATTTTTAACGACGTAAGCTGAGCTGTTCCTCAAGAACAGCATGGGAAAGGAAACCCACAGACACAGTAAGGAGTTCGTGCATACAGAACCCTAAGCAAAGCTCTTAGCAAACTCAATTCCAAAAGGACACCATGTCAGATCAAACTAGATTCCCAGGAATGCAACTTTCACCCTAGAAAACCAGTTCAATGGATTAATAGGTAAAAAACAAAACAAAAATAAACAACAACAAAAAAAACCCACAAAAAAACAAAAACAAAAAACACTATCAACTCAATAAATCAGGAAAAAAAAACAGTTGATAAAATTTCTACTTATAACCTTAAAATAAAGCTTATCTAAGAATAGAAAGGAACTTCTTTTTTATATAAATATATTTTATTGATCTTTTTACAGAGAGGAAGGGAGAGGGATAAAGAGTTAGAAACATCAATCAGCTGCCTCCTGCACACCCCCTACTGGGGATGTGCCCGCAACCAAGGTACATGCCCTTGACCGGAATCGAACCTGGGACCTTTCAGTCTGCAGGCTGACTGCTCTATCCACTGAGCCAAGCTGGTCAGGGCGAAAGGGACTTCTTTATCCTGAGGAAGACCGTCTACAATAGTGGCTCTCGGGGGTGGTTCCTGACCTGTAGTATCCGCATTGCCTGGGAACTTGTCTGAACTGCAACCCCTCAGGTCTCACCAGGGGGCAGCTGAATCAGAAACTCGGGGCTGGGAGCAGTCGGGGGCAGCTGCTTTCTGGTTGTTGTTGTTTTTTTAAATATATATTTTTTTCTTTTCTTTTTTTTTTAAAATATATTTTATTGATTTTGTACAGAGAGGAAGGGAGAGAGATAGAGAGTTAGAAACATCCATGAGAGAGAGTCATCGATCAGCTGCCTCTTGCACACCCCCTACTGGGGATGTGCCCGCAACCAAGGTACATGCCCTTGACCGGAATCGAATCTGGGACCCTTCAGTCCCCAAGCTGCTAGACTTGGCAGTCACTGATCTACAAGAACCCGCCTCCAGCGGGCAGAGAGCAGAGGCTGTGCGGACCTTGGGAGGGCTGCTGGGGCGGCCACCGGGGCCAGTTGCTCCGGGGCCAGCTGCTCAGGGAAGGGCAG